TTAGCCCCTCAATACAGGATAATGAGATTAATAATGATTGGATAGTGAAACTGTGATTGGTTAGAAAGGCAAACACCTAAACTTACTAATTCTTTGAGAAATCATACGAATTCTGTTATTTGGTTTTGCAAATAATTTTGCCTGTGAAGAGAGACTTTAATAACATGGGGATTTCTCTTTAGTTTTTCTATAAAGTAAACAAAACAAAACACCAAAGCTACTTGATTTCCATGATTTGATACATTTTTTTAAGTGACCTGAAATGGTAGGGAGTGAGTTTCCGTGGATCTGTTGCAAGGATTATCTCATTCATTTCCAAATTAACATAAATTCATTACTTCCTCCAAACTGCCTTTTGATTTTTGTGTCTCATTTTATTTTATTTATTTTAGTTTTGTTTTTCTTTTGTGTGTGTGTGGTTTTTGGCTGGGGCTGGGTTTGAACCCACCACCTCTGGCATATGGGGCTGGCACTCTACTCCTTGAGCCACAGGCACTGCCCTGATCTGGGTTTTTTTTTTTTTGCAATAGAGTCTCACTATGTAGCCCTCAGTAGAGTGCCATGATGTCACAGCTCACAGCAACCTCAAACTCTTTTGGGCTTAAGCAATCTTCTTGCCTCAGCCTCCCTAGTAGCTGGGACTACAGGTGCCTGCCACAATGCCTGACTATTTTTTTGTTGTAGTTGTCATTGTTGTTTAGCAGGCCTGGGCCAGATTCGAACTGGCCAGCCCAGGTGTACATGGCTGGTGCCCTAACCACTGAGCACAGATGCCAAGCTGAACCTTGTGTCTTATTTTAAATAAACAACAGAGGCAAAAAAAAATCTCTTAAGTCCCTTACATGGTCTGAAGTTTCAAGTTTCATTTCCTTTGCCGACTTCCCTCCTGTCTCTCAAGGTCATCACCACACAGACCCCCGTATTTGGTTTCTCCTACTCCCAACTCCAGCTGCCATTCAGTACAGCGAGCCTCATTCTTTATTCCTGTGTTTGTGTGTGTGTTAATGTTAATCTGCTGCTTCCAAATGCTTCCAGCTCTACCACCAATATTATCAGTTTTGTTTTAACCTATTCTTAAATTCTAACTCTTTTTTTCCTTTTGAGACAGAGTCTTACTCTGTTGCCCTGGCTAGAGTGCCATGGCACCATCACAGCTCATAGCAACCTGAAACTCTTGGGCCCAGGTGATCCTCTTGCCTCAGCCTTCCAGGTAGCCGGGACTACAGGCACCCACCACCTCCTGCTAGTTTTTCTATTTTTAGTAGAAACAGGTCTCACTCTTGCTCAGGCTGGTCTCCAACTCCTGATTTTAAGCACTCCACCCGCCTTGGCCTCCCAGAGTGTATGATTATAGGCAAAGGCACTATACCCTGCCTGAATTCTGACTCTTGACATAGTAATTACATAGAGAATGCTCCCTCCAGCCCAGTGATGGTTAATCTTTGTTGGGCACTGACTTAATTCACGGATGAATTTATTCAACAACATTATTAAATCCCACTACTTACAGGTACTGTGCTAGGACTGCAACTTAGGTGTAGCAACCGTATGTGCCCCCGTGGAGTTTTACAGTCCAGCAGGTTTAAGAATCAGAAAATAGCAGCCCTTTTTCTCAGAAAATTGTCCTCTTGCATAAAATGTTGCAAAAAACTGCCAGAAATGAATGACCACTCACACATAGACACACACACACTAATACCTTAAACACCTTATGTTTCCTCTGTTGAATTTTTGGCATGTATGTGTCTTCATTAAACTGGCCAGAGATCAAAGGTGGGGAATGCGCCCTCCTTCTGACTTCGTGGTTTCTGAGCCTCTTTTTTCATCTCTTATTTCCAACTCACTTGTGCTTCCATCCTTGGGCCCCAAGGGAACAAACTGGCCTTCTTTCTGTCAGGGTGCTAGGAAGATCCTAGCCCTGGTTTGGGCTTTATCTGGGTGCCACTAGCAAGCAGCTCCCAAAAAAAGAGTAAAAAGAAGTTACACAGCAGTGGCGAGCAGTTAGCAGAATTTTATTTTATAGAACACACTTCAGCTTATGAGCAAACAGAACACTCTGAAGTTTATAAGCACACTGAACACACCCCCGAGAGGAAGGTGCAGGTCTATTCCCCTTACAAACTTTTTCTTTTGCATTTATTCCCCAGTTCTCTGCCTGCTTCTAAGGACTATGCCTTTCTTTCACCTAAGGTCTTGATCAAGCTGATTGTACATTATTATTAACTAATTTCTCCTTTGGAAAGTCTCTGAGCTCTTAATAGAGCATTGATTAATCATGGGATGCTGACTAACTTCTTTAAAGAATTCTGATTGATCAATCCCTCTGCGAGGTTCTTAGGAGGTGGCCAGTGCCAGAATTTTAATACTTTCCGACCACAATCTCGGCTACTTCTGCTTTTGTAGTAGCCTAGAATGGTCTGTCTCCCCCACCTTGTGCACACCTAAGCTCAGGACCTGTCTGCCCTGTCTCAGCATTTGCCCACCTTTCTTTGTCTCAGCAGTGGTCTGCTTTTATTTTCCTTCTTCCCCTGTTCCCTACCTGTCCCTGAAGTTGGCCTTGTCTTGAGGCCCCTTTCTATAAAGTGCTTTCCCCCATGATAGTGACCCTCTCCCCCGACCCCAGTTTCATCCTTTTTCTGCTGTCTTCCTCCACTGACAGCAAACACCTTCTCATCTGCACGGAACATGATGTTAGAGAAAATCATTTTGCCTGCCTCCTGGAAAAGTCTTCTCAGCTCTTCCCTTTTATGCCTGTCATCTTTTATGAGATAAAAGGAACAGCATGAGTGAACTTCATAAATTCCAAGTGGCTCCCCAACTAAAGCCGTGGTGAGCTCAGTTTGCCTTGGTCTTTTGGGGACAGCTGCCACCACATCAGTGGTTGAATCATGGAGAAACAATCTCAAGTCCTTCTGCTGTGTGCCAAGTCCTGTTTTTACATCTGCCGCCTACATATAGCTACCAATCAGCACCCAATCTACTGTTGACACTCCTTAAGCATTCACTATTAATAATCGTTGTCATCATGACAATTTTAGTTAAGAGATAAAATTAGGGGATGAGTTAAAATCTAGACTGAGCTCTCTATGTCACCTGTCTATCACAGCTGCACCAAAAAAGAAAAATAAGACATTCCTCTGTAGGTTGGGATTATGTCTACTCATGAAGCCAAGTGTGGGTTGCATGGAAAGAAATACATTTTGTTACTCTTCAAAGACTGTGAAAAGATCTGTTTTCTATTGTTAGGCTCTTTCCTTTTTTCCAGTCTGTTGTAAATTCGTATTCTTCAATATATGTAGCACTTCTAAAACTTACGGATACCACCCAAATAGTCAATCAGAGACACAATAATCCCTAAAATTCAGAGATGAAAAATAAGTCTACACTTGGGTTACCTCTCCTAGAATTCTGGGTAACCAGTATTTACTTTGTTTCAAGTCTCCTGTAGCACCAGAATTTACATGCCCACTTTGAATACACATCAAAATGTTTCCAATTTCATTTCCATTAAGATAAATTTTGCTCTTATTAATATTGCCCCTTAAAATTCTCCTTGTAAATGCTCAGATTCCTGTAAGAAAACACAACAGATGTCAACTTTGGGGGAAAGGTGATTGTTTTCTTTTTTTGATTGGTATTTCCATTCAAGTGAGGAACAGTAAATTTTCAGCCTCAGAAACAGTCTATTTATAAGGACAGACAAGAAAAGGCATAGCTTAGATCTGCTTTTCAAAGGCAAATGAAGGCTCCACTGTGCCTTTGTTTTTAAATAATCAGTTTGCAGCCTTCAGTGTGTTTTATTTGAAGGCATGTGTTGAAAATGAGTGTCATGTCTTTCCAATGCCTTTCAATCCTGCAAGCAATCTTACCCAAAAAGAGGTTCTACTGAGATGTGAGTCAATGATTGTTACCCATTTCTACTTCATGTGAGTTTCTTGTGTAGTTTGGGTTAAAAATTTGTGATTGGCAATGAACAAGAAGTTAGAGGCACTTCAAAATGCCAAAAACAAAACTACAGTTTCTTTAGGTAAGTTCAAGAAAGGCTGACATTTTAATAAAATATTCTGCCTGGGCTCCATGATAACACCAGGAAGAGCCCAGCACGTGTTCCCTGGACCTGCAGGATCTGGAGTCTTTGTTCTCCTGTTTGTATTCAACTTCTTTTAACAACTACAAGCATCCAGAAGGGAGAACATCCTTAAAACTAGCAATTCTAAAAGATATCACTGAAAATGCAGATTTTCAGAGTTCAGTTTACAATGGAGTTTTTACCTTATGCTTCAGTTTAATTCCTTCAGATGTTTCCTATTATAAAAATAATTATGCTTCTGTATAAATTTCAGAATAGTAAAACTATACTCTTACAATGAATCTGTGTCCAGAGAGAAAAACAAGAACTATTACCTGGCAGTGAGGGTATTAACATTATCTGGGAGAGATCATTTTATGTCAGAATTAGAAGGTCAGTAATGTGTTAAATTCTTTCAAGATATTTTTACATTCTTTATGCTTTCTAAGCCTACTGCTTAAGAGAGCTTAAAAGCATAC